ATATGGTCAATGGCATTCGAGAGATGTATACCAGGGGAAGAGAGCAAATTGCATCTGAAGGTGACTCTGATGGTGACACCATCCACCTGGTGAAAAATACTTCTGACTCAGCCACAGACGACGCCAACTGAGAGACAAAGAGCAGGCAATGGTTCAGACGCTTGTGAGAGATAAGTTTCATTCTGGAAGATTGGTTCTTCCTTCTGCATCCCCTTGCAGAAGGACATATCCTTCCCACCAGCTCTTGTGCCATCACCACAAATTTTCAGAGACTTGCTGGGATCCCTAGGAATATTCAGATATCCCAATTTCTGGGAGTAAGGGACATTAGGAAGGGACAGAAGACAACAAACTAGAAGACCTTAGAAATATCAGTGGTGTCAAAGCTTGGGGGGTGGGGAGGTTGTAGAAAGTTTGTTTCAAAACTTAGCCTTTCTTGTCATTAACCTTGCGGTAACCATTATAGCACATACTGATCACATAGTAAATAGTAAGACCCAGGAACTGTGCCTCCTGCTGCTATTCTAACGCATTTGCAGGAATTGTTTCAGTACAATTTTCCTATTGGGAAAGGGGTCAGATTCTGACAAGTGTCTCTACAACATGAAAAGTGAGGTGATACAGTCCTTGCATGAGGACTGTACCACTTTGTTGCTCATACGCCTTAATTGCCATTTCCTCCCACCATCCAAGTGCTAACCGGAACCAACCCTGCTTAGCTTCTGTGTTTTTATGGGGCAGCACAGCCTCAATTTCCTTGCTTTAAAATCTAACCCATAGTAAATTGGCCAGTTGTTCAATGAGGGAAATTGCTCAATTGCATGTGCTGTTCCAGATGAGTTAAATTTTGGATTTGCTTGTTTATTAAACATTGATACTAGACTTAAAAGTTTGTCTTGTAGCCTGACCCTAAGCACACCTACTCAGAAGTAAACTGCAATCAACACAAGTAGGATTGCAGCCTTAACAGGGAAAAGCAAAAATGGGACAATCCCAGTTCACAAGAACCCAAGATGGTTTTGAACATAATCATTCTTCCAGCTATACCAAGAAGAGGAGCAACAATATTGTGCTCCTATAATGCAGTTAATGTTGACCATTGTAGACTGTGTTCAGACACTGTTTCAGCAGTGATCATCAAACCAGGAACCCAATTTAGCAGGATGTGGACATGATGCAATAAGGTTGCCAAGCTGGCACCAAACCCCAGTGGAACCCATTACTAGAAATAGCCTAGTCATAGAAGTTTGTCTGATACCTTTCTTTAAAAATGGGGGGGGGGATTCTGCTTCAACTCTTGCACAAAAAACATGATGCACATATTTTTATTTCAGAACCTGCAAACTCTATAGGACACACTTATTCATTCATAATCGGTTTGCATAATCAGTTTACATAGTCATCCCCACTCCTGGTTTAATACACCTTGTCATAAACCAGAGGGGTGCTTGTGTGTTTCTTGTTTTTTCTCCAGCTGAACTTGCTGTCTCTCCCCATTGCAAATGCCACCACACAGAATCCCCAGCCTTCTTACTGGAATTCAGATTGCCTCCATATATGTATTTATATTTCAATCCAAGGAAGTAGAAGCAGGAAAGTGCCTGGATAAACAGCAATTCCCCCTTTCCCCAGTTTACTGTGCCTCTCTAGGGGTCACCTTTACTTCTCCCTTGTTTTTTTTTAACCCTTGGATTTGCTCGGGGTGGGGCAGGGTCACCAAAAGCTGCTTGACCTAGCCAACTTTTTTTGACAGAGGCATGAAGCGGCAACAAGAGGCAGAAATGCAACTGGTGCAGCGCAACAAATGTAGGGTTGTGCAAGGGAGGCTGAGTGTGGCTACTCTCCCCATACTTCCTAGGAATATTTATGAATCAAGTGAGTTCAAATCCACATTGGTGAATATTAGCACAGAACAGGGAGTGATTCTGGATTAGCTGATGCAGAGCTTGCATATATAATGTAGCACGCGGGTGAAGCTAATACATAATCAGAGACTTCCCATATAACACATAACACAACCTTTCTTTTTAATAAGTATACAGAATTCTCTCTGGAATCATTGGTGCCAAGGGTAGTTCATTCTGTATTCATAAAACCAGTGCTTTCCCCCCCTAAAAAAATGTTTAGGGGTACTCTCATTTTGACTCAAGAAAATCACCATTTTATACTTCAGATTGGGAAAAATAAATACAGTAAATGGACAAAAGTAGAAAGATTCACAAAAAGTTTAGGGGTATGCATACTCCTGCGTAGCCCCAGAAAAAGCACTTCGTAATACAGTAATTAAACAGACCAAATCACTGTTTCACACATAAATATTATTAGACGAGAATGGGTGGTTGGGAGGGCAAGATAATTTTTTCTACCTATTCTCAGATGATCAAGATTACATTTTTTAAAAACTTTAAAAAAACTATTGAAATGCTAGAGCAGTAATAGCATGCAGCAACCAGCAGGTGGCAGCCATCATTTTCAGTGCTAGATTCTCCTTAAATAAAATGGGTGCTGGGGTGAAATGCTATTTTAAGCAACCACATCTCCTTTCTATCTGTCCCAAGGCACAGCATCCTGCACAGGAAGTATTGACACCTCCCAGGATCCCAGGGATTCAGTATTCTCTCAGTGCCTGCAAGGAAGGATCATAAAAAAGGGAGCAGAGGGGGCCTTACTTTGGGGGTGGCCACTGGCTGCTCCGGGTCCATCAAGACCAACTCACCCTGCCTTCAAATTATTTGCCTGACTAGCACAAAGGGCTGCAGTGGCGGGTATTCAGTAGCAACAGGGTGCTGAGGACATTTCACATCTTCCTTCTATGAAATATACTGACAATTAACCTTGCCAGTACAGTGGCACCTCTGGTTACGAACTTAATTCCTTCCGGAGGTCCGTTCTTAACCTGAAACCGTTCTTTACCTGAGGTACCACTTTAGCTAATGGGGCCTCCCACTACCACCGCACAATTTCTGTTCTCATCCTGAGGTAAAGTTCTTAACCTGAGGTACTACTTCTGGGTTAGTGGAGTCTGTATCCCGAAGTGTTTGTAACCCGAGGTACCACTGTATGTCTTTTTAAGTTAATTTACTAACTCAGGCTGGTTCTCTGCAACAGCGCCAGGTGGAAAAAGACAGCAGGGAACTTTACTTTTACACACACACACACACACACACACACAGTGGGAGAGCAATTGGAAAGCGACCTTCAGCCTCTCTGCTTGGAGCTAGTGTGCTTTCAGGGTATCACGAAGGACATGCTGCATGAGATCTCCAAAGTACAACAGGGGAAATGCAGGCCGAGGTAAAAGTAGAGCAATGTTGAATCTTAAAATAAAGTGAGACACAATCTTTGTATGTTAAGTAGGCTCACTTATGCAAGCACGGGCAATCTGAAGGTGAGGGAATGGACTGAGAAGCATCACTTTTTTAGGAGACTGCTAAAATATAAACAAACCGTGTTTTATATTGAAATGCAGTCAGCTACTGAACAGGCCACAATCAGTAGGGATTTCACAAAATTTTGACACTCGGTGACCTGTTAGCTTAATGAAACAAAATATGGGATTGGTGCTTACTTTATGCCCAAATTGTGAGGCACCCATTTGAAGCAAGTGTTGTATTTTAATTCTGGACCAAGCCAGGGGACGAAAAATAAATAACAAAGAGACAGATTCCTGGACAATTTGAATCGGTGAGCTCCAAAACTAGCAAAACTCTTTACATATGTCAACTCTACAGGCAACCCTCATAGGGACTGGGAGCAAAGTATTGTGGTCCCGATCTTTAAGAAAGGAGAGAAAATCTAACCTGGCCAATAATCACCCAGTTTATTGGACATTATATCCAAACTCTATGTTTGTTACTTATTGGGAAAGAATTGAGCAGAGCGGTTCAATATCATTGGGGATCAACAAGCATGCTTTTGTCAGGGGAAGTCAATCATAGAACAATGCTTTGTCTTAAACTATTTGAGACAGAAATATGCAGGTGCCCTCAAGAAATATCCATATGCTGTCTTTGTCGATCTGACCTCAGTCTTTGATAGAATCAACAGATGTCTAAAATTATGGAGGGTGGGGATGAATAGGTGACCGCTGACCTTAATTAAGATCCTGTACACTAGAAACACAATGCAAGTTAGAGTAGGCAGAGATTACCTGGAGCGGAAGTTTGAAACCAATACAAACACTTCAACAATCCAATGACGTCTTCATTATGTGACCACTGTAGTTGGTTCTGCTTGGTACTGTGGCATCACCTGGGAACCACAAGGTAACAATCCTCTGTGCTTCAGGCTTCCTGTTTGCCTGCTCTTCTCAGCCATTCTGTCCCTCACAACACAAGCAGTGTATTTATTTAAACCACTGTTATTCTACTCTTCAGGCAAAAGGGGCTCAAGAATAAGATGGTCGCTGGTAAAAGATGTGGCACAAAAGGAACAAGGATTTTGAGGGAGAAGGGAAAAAAGTAAACTTGAAGACTAGATCTTAGCTACAAAGGTCTTGTAAGTGTTCCGAGGGGCAAAGCAAGTTCCCTGCAGCTGCTCCTTTTCTGACCAATGGATGTGGCCAGGTTGGTCCCCCCCTTGCTGTGTGGTTCTTCCTGGAATGATGGGGTGGCAGCCCCCCAGCGGCACATAGACCCCTGGATAATGGCAGAGGTCAGAGTGTACTGCCCGGTCTCTAGCTCAAACTCTGTTACCTACCTTCACTGTCAAGATCACAGCTCCCATCTCTACAAATTCACTCTCAAGAATCCAACAACTCTTCTTCCTTCTCTCCAGTTTCCTGCCCTCGAGTCCAACTGCCACTCTCCAGTTTTAACTGACAACATTCCAGTCTCCTTGGCAATGGTTGCCTAGAGCAATTCATGGTCTTCTGTTCTCTCCAGGAACATCTGCCCACATGGTCTTAGTCCCCAGCTTAAGTGTGCATAGGATGCCTAGTTTAGCACACAGTCACACAATGCATTTAAAACACATTTAAAGAACATGACTGACTCCAGCTGCATAACTAAACATTGATTTATTGCTATTTCATTATTATTTACAAAGCAAATCTAAAAGCTGCCAATGGTTTATTTAAATCAGAGGATCCCAAGGTATCCAGGGTGTGTCAGGGTTATAAAAAGTTTGGAGTCTTTAAACAACTCCTAACATTAATCAATGTGTACTTCACAGAATCTTAGTTCTCAGTATCCGAAATGAAGAGCAGCGATTCCCTAGACTGTGGAAGACGTACAACTCATACAGGACACAGAAATGCCTGTAGATTTGATCACATGTGTGTGCATGTGCTTCAGTTTGGGCAGAAGTACATGTGAGATCCATAGGGGAAGAGTATGTTTGCGTGTGTGTGTGTGTGTGTGTGTGTGAGAGAGAGAGAGAGACAGAGAGAGAGAGATATGTGGGGAAGGGTACTGACAAATCAATTTCAGAATATGCAGGCCAGAGCTCCAGATCACACCTAATGCTGCTAATTCAATGAGCCCCACTGTGCAGATGCATGAGCCATGTGAACATGGCAGGACTTTTAAGCAGAATCTCCCAGACATCACTGCTGATGTTGTTTCTGACACCTTCGCTTCTGTGGCATCATGGGAAAGATGCCATTATCATTAAGCGATGGCTGGTTGGTGGATGTATGGATCATGGCATATGGATCTCTGGATATGTGTGATTTACCCTGGTCCTGCAATGGGATTCAGGCATGCAAATAAATTGCTATGTATGGCTCTCCTTGGATTTGCTGAAGTGTGTTTGGGTGGTGGGGGAGAGTAAGGAGCCACATCCAGTACAATGGGGCTGTGCAGTGTTCCTATCCCACAAATGCACAGCTACACAATATGGTCACCTTTGACAATGCTGAAGAACGGTTGAAGAAAACGAATCTAGGTGCTCCTGTCCCCCAACAGACCTCATGTTACTCACTTATTTCATACAGGTAAAAGGTAGGAGACCCCTTTTATGATGCTTTTTATTTGTGGCTATCTCTGTGTAAAAAGACACATCAAGTTTAAATACTAGACTTGACAATTCCCAAAGATTTTGGGCCATTAACAGCAACCTCCATGTTGTTCCCTCTGCTCCTACATACTCATTCAGGCTAACTTCTACCCTGTGGCTGCAATCCTAGACACATTTACCCAGGACTAAGGCCCATGGACCTCAATGGGATGTGCTGCCGAGTCGACATGTAGAAGGCTACTCTAAGGTTTAGGGACTATTCTTCATCAAAAATATAACGGACAGAATAATCTTTCCACCCAAAATAAAATATATACATACACACAATAACTGCCGTATCAGTTTGAACTAAAAAATACTATATATAACTAATAAAAGAACAAGTAACATTAATGGGAAAAGGTTCACCTGCCCCTCTCACAAATGCTGCTCTGCATTCGACAATGGCCAAATACATCCCCTTAGGAAACCCCACATGGGAAACATGATGGCAACAGTCATCTACTATTTGCAGCACCTGGAAAAGCAGATCTCCTGCTGCTTTTGAACAGAGGTCCCTCCTTCCTACAGGTCCAGCTATGCAGTGAGAAACCCAGTCTGAAGAACTTTTGTGGGCAGGCCCTTAATCTCTATATTCACAGAGATTTTGCTTAAAAAGCAGAGAAGCATGATGACACAGATCAGCCCTGAGAGGACTTCACCAGAGTCCTCCCTTCTTGAGCTCCATCCTGGGAAATTTTAGAGCAGTACAGTACATGGAGCAAATTCCCATTCGCCTTAGCTGCATGGTCAGCAATGTCCTCTGAACAAGCCTTGCAAGCAGAGCCAGCGACTTCTTTTGGACCAGAGTCCATCTGACAGGCTGAAAATCGGAAGAAAGCAAGGAACTGGGCTTTGAATTACGTTTCCAGTCACTGCAGAGCGAAGCAATCTTTCCCGAATGCCCTGGTGAGTCTGTCACAGTAGCCAAATCACAGGGGGCAAGGAAAAAGCAGGTTATTTGCACCTTCTATTATGTCCTGAGCTAGGTTGTCCCCAAACAAAGTCAAGCTATGTCCTTGAGAGGGGCCAGGCATGGAAGAGGAATGAGACCTATCAGCAAACCCAGAAGAAACCTCAGCACAACCTCTAGCATTTGCCTTCCTTCGTAAGGTTGAAAGGAGTCAGGAGCTGGGAGAACACGCTGAGCCAGGCTCCTTTTAAGCTCTTGACACATCTTTCTTTTCTTTATCTGGAACGTCTACCTTCTCTTCAGTCTCGCTTGCTTTCAGCTTGCTCTTTGCCTGCGACTCTGGGGATACCAGAGGCTTGCTTTTCTCGGCCGCTTTCTCCTTTGTGTGGATCCTCTGATGCGTCACCAGAGCGCTCTTCTGCCGGAACCTTCTCCCGCACTCGAGGCAGCGGTATGGCCGCTCCCCGGTGTGGATCCTGCGGTGTATCAGAAGATCCGAGAACCTGGTGAACCGCCTCTCGCACTCGTCGCAGGGGAAGGGCTTCTCTCCCGTGTGGATTTTCTGGTGCCTGGTCAGGTCCGACGGGTAGCTGAACCTTCTCCCGCACACACCGCAGCAAAAGGGCTTCTCTCCGGAATGCGTTCGCTGGTGAGAGATGAGGTTGGAGCGCTGGATGAACCGCTTCCCGCATTCCGCGCAGGAAAACGGCTTCTCTCCCGTGTGGATCCTCTTGTGTATCTTCAGCGTGGAGGAGGAAACAAACCTCTTCCCGCATTCCAGGCAGATGTAGGGCTTCTGCCCCGTGTGGATGCGTTCGTGGACCTTGAGTGCCGACTGGTGGCTGAAGCACTGCTGGCAGTGAGAGCAGCGGTAGGGCTGCTCCCCGGAGTGGACTCTTTGGTGGCTAACCAAAGAGGCCCGCTGGGCAAAGGATGCTCCACACTCGGTGCAGATGTGTGGCTTTTCTCCCGTGTGAATCCTCTGGTGTCGGGTCAGGTGAGACAGCTGGCTGAATCTTGTTCCGCACTCCATGCAGCGAAAGGGCTTTGCACCGGTGTGGATGTTCTCGTGCTTAGCCAGGTCAGATGGACGTGCAAAGCATTTGCCACAGTCGATACAGATGTGGGATTTCTCCTTCCTAGGAACCAGCCCGGAAGTAGAACGTGTTCCCTCTTCCTTGGCCCCTTGATGAAATGGACCACCAGCTCTGTTTGCATTCTTGGCACCTGTAAGATTGGGGAGGGAGGGGAAAGAAATCCTGAAGTCATCTGTGAGTTGCTCAATGCACTAATGTGACTAACATTTATAGATGAAAAACCATATGTCATCAGCACAACTCATTCTGCTTCTGGCCAAGGCTGTGTGTATGCTGCAGTTCTGTCTGAGTACAGAAGAAATGCAGAAGAGTGTGGCTGTAGGCATGTACATAATTCAAATTTCCCAACACTCAGCTTTCTTTTGTTCTAAAGCAAGTTTCTATTCCTTATGACTGTGAAAATATGCTTGTAGGTAGATGGACAAAGCACATTTTTACGGCCAATGTATGTTTTAAGCAGCCAGAGAGGTGGCTGAATAAGATGTCCAGTATCTGCAGAGTAAGGCTTTCACTTCCCTGCACAGTTCATTGCCCCCTCCCTAAACCAGAATAAATTACTGTAATATGTTGTGATAATTTACATAATTTATACATACAACACCAATACACTATTCATGGTACAAGCTTGCAATTAGCAAGGTACAGATTTTAATTTTTTTAGTGTGCCATACCAACAGCTCAGCTTATAGCACTCTTGCAGAGTAAACAGAATGATAGAACTGGAAGAAACCTCAACAGCCACCCAAACAGCATAGCCCTCCATAAAATCTCTCTCACCTTCCCTGCAACAGAAACCTAAATAAAACCTGAGGGGGAAAATCAACCTGCAGAACAAATAGGTTCACATGATTTGTGTAAGTAAGCCAGGCTACAAGCTGAAGCAGAAGTCGTACCCCAAAAAACCTTAGAGTAAGCCATGTCCACCCACTGTATATTCTAGAGAAATGTTAGCAGAGACAACCCCATGAACTCCTAACATCAGCTGTAACCGCCTTGGTGCTTACTTTCCACTAAGCAGATGAGTGAGGCTCAAACTGCCCATGTTAATTACAGCATCGCCACAGAACAGGAGTGGGAATATGTGGCCCTTCAAATGTCAACCGACTCCAACTCCCATCAGTCCCAGCCAATGACCAGGGAGGACTGACTGCTTACAACAGCTCTGGAGTCTTTAATCTTTTTTGCTTAAACAGCTGATCCTTCAAGAATGTAGCGTTCGCCACTAAATTCTAGAATTTCAAACCACTCCTTTGAATACTTTCCAACTCATCTAAATTCCTCCCTGAACTATGGCACTCAAATTGGGCATGGAAGTTAAGCTGTAGCCTTAACCTGCGCCGAAGAGCTGTGCTGTGTTCGCAACAGCACAAGAGCAAGACATACCTAATAAGCTGGTCTTCCCATTATCCTGCTGTCGGGCCTCCTTAGCAAGATGCCTCTGTCTGGCATCAGACACAGCCCTCTGGCCTTCAGAGAGATTCGTGGCTGTCTCCCGGAACGAACCAGAGTCCTGAAACAACAAAGAAAGTTGACACTGAAGGCCCTACCTGCCCCCACCAAAAAATATCATGGTTAACAAAATGAAGCAATGTTAAGGCAAAAACCAGAAGATGAAAGCTCTGCAGAGCAGCAGCATACCTGACTTGACCGGCTTGCAATTCAACTCAACCCACCTGTGGTTCATTCTGCAAACTCTCCTGCTGCCTCAGAAGGAATCCTTCGGCCAGGGCCACCGCCTGGGCACAAGTCTCGGGTCCGCGTTCTCGGACCCGGTTCTGGATTTCCTTTGGCAGGACGGTCAGAAACTGCTCCAGGATCAGCAGCTCCAGGATCTGCTCCTTTGTGCGGCTCTCCGGTTCCAGCCAGCAATGGCAGAGTTCCCGTAAGCGACTGCAGGCCTCGCGAGGCCCCTCCGCTTCCTGGTAGCAGAACTGGCGGAAGCGCTGGCGCTGCGTCTCGGCAACACTGGAGCTGCCTCGCAAGGCAGCTGCTTTCACCTTCCCGTGGTCCCCTCTGTCTCTGGCATTCAGGCTGCTCAAGGCCTGCTGGGCTTCGGCGCTGAGAGTCGGCATGAGGCGGCTCATCCCTTCTCTAGACCACTGGCAGGCACCCACCACGCGGTCAAAGGTGGCCAAGTCATCCCACGAAGCCAAGTCCGGCAGCTGTGGCGTTCCCCACCCTGAAGAGGGATACTGGACAGTTTTCAAGTACTCTTGCCACTGGGCTTCCAAGCGCTGAGGTATCCCTTCCTGGCGCGGTGTTCCCCATCGGGACAAATCCCGGGGAGTACCAGACTGGACTGGAAAAGCGCCTCTTCCTGATCTCCCAGATCCTTCTCCTGCCTCGGCGCCTGCTCGGGTTTGTTCCTCCATTTCCACAAGGTGTTGCCCACAGTTTAGCTCCTCATAAGTATCTCCACACCTGCCCCCTTGTCTTCCTAGGGTTGGTTCTCTCTCAGTTCAAGTGCTCGAGCCTGGTATCCCCTTCAAATCCCAAGTTTTTTACCTCAGACCAGGTGAAAGGATAGATCAGCACCTGGGCATACGTAACACCTCCGGCCACTTAACATCTGCCACTGTGGGGACTGGATAGACACGCTTTCTCATGCAGCCCAGCAGTCATGGCTAACTGAAAGAAACCAGCTGAACCTGCAGCCAACAGGTTTCCCATTCAAGCAGCTTTGTGTTGTTCCTGAGGGAAGACAAAGGAAATTAGCCAAAGCTAGATTTTGGGCATGGAAAAACAAATATACCAGCCCATTGGTAAGCAACTGAATTATAATCAGCCAAGCTTATCGAAACTAAATTGGCTCCAATTACATTAAGAAACATAAAGAATGTCATGAAAACACAACAGTGGTTGCTGGTAATTTCAACTAAAACACCGGAAACAGAGTTTAGATGGGCATATACGGCAGTGTTTTTCAAATGTTTTATCTTGAGGCAACAGACTCCCCATTGATTTGTCTGCCAAGGATTCTGGAGAATGTTATTGGTTGGACTAGTCTGCTTGCCCACAGCTATGGCGAAGCCTATTGGGCTTATTGTTGCTCAGTGTGAATTCACAACCATGTGCAGAACCCTTATTCCCCTGCTCTGTGCTTTCCACAAGGAAAAGCCGCCTTTCAAGAAAGCTTGTCCGCCATCACTGATCTTAGACAGAAACCAGTAAGCTCTCAAGAATCCCGAAGATGCCTTGCAACATTTGAAAACTGCTGAGTTTGTGCAACTTCCAGCCATTCTTCACACCTCTCCTGCCCACAATCCCTCAGAAACCAAATTTACATTAAGTGTTCCCCTTCAGTAACACAATACAGATCTATTTTTGCCGGGGTGGGGGTGGGGAGAGGGATTTTAAGAGCAAGTCTTTTTGTTGTTGTTGAAATTCCTATAGGGAAAGCTTTCTTTCGTTTATTTTCTTAAAAAACTTTGTTAGCCATATTTGGGCCTTGGAATCAATATCTAAAGTATCTGGAAAGCGCTGCAAAGATTGGCCAACTCTTCTGAAAAAATAGAATCCAAATTGCAAATATAAGATTGCATTTGTGGGAGCCTCCAGAAAAATAATTATGGTATAGCATCTTGCACTACAAAGGTGGGCATGGGAAATATAGAGCGGGGAGGGCCCAGGATATGTCAGGGGTATTTTTCCACTAACGCTTTCTTTGAAACTGCGGCCTCAGAACATGGCTGGCTGCTGCAGGGAGAAGAGAGCCTCTTCGGAAAGAAAACAGAGATGTTGTTGTGCGGGGTCCAGAGAGGGATAAGCCGAGCTCTTAATCGGCTCAGGAGTTAAACACATTCTGCAGAGAATCAGCATCCACAGCGCTTGCTTGCCCTTCCCCCACAGGCCTTGATTCGCTGGGGGTCTCTTAATCCCCCACCCCACCCCTTAAATCCTCAGATGCTAACAGAATGGAAAGGCTAGCTAGAGCTCCTGCTAAAGTCTGCATTTTTCTCCAGGGTCTCTCTTTTTTTCTCATTCTCTCTCTCTCTCTCTCTCTCATCTGCTTCTCTTCTCCATCTTGACAAGAAGGTGGAGGTGAAACTGTATTCAAGAACTAAAAGCAAGTGGAGGGGTTGAAAATTGGTGAATAGACACACACAAACACAAGTCCTTTAGGAAAGCTACAGCTTCCTTAATTATGCTGCATAGACAAAATCCACATTGATTAATCCACACCACATCCTGATCCCATGCTCACAATCATTAACTTGGATTACAAAACCTTCATCAACCCACACTGGAGGGATGGCAGCATTCCAGTCCTTTCACCCCTGATTCTACCACACCCTTCCCACAAGGAACTCTGAAGTCCTGGCTCCAAGTATTCCCTAACCCACCCCACCTCACCTCCCAATCCTCTAGTTTTTCTCAGCGTGGGTATAAACCCAGAATCTCAGCCTCAGTGCCTCCACCCCTCTGCCCAGACACTCTGTTGCCACACACACTTAAGTCACACCACTGCATTCTCTTATAATATGAACTAAATGCTAAAACTCCTTTGCCCCCATACAAATGTACATGGGGAATCCCCACTTTACACACAAGCCTGAATTGGAAGGGTGGTACAGAAAGCCACTCTTTAAGCACTCCTATTATGGGTAGAATAAGGAGGCTAAAGGATGTTGAGGGGCAAGAAATCTAAAGAGAATAGTCATAGTCCCTACCACACACACAAAAAAAGAATCCTAAGGCAGGATGTGAAGGCTCCCCACAAGTCTCTCTTGATCTTTTAAAGCTACAAGCTTTCAAAAGGAGAGGAATAGTGAAAAGTAAAATAGTGAATAGTAAAAAATGGGAGACAGAAAGTTGGGGAACAACATTGCTTCTGAGCTCTGGGTTCAAATCCAGCCATGGAACCCCCATGTGCCCTAGGGCAATTCACAGGCTTGCCTCTTCAGCACTTTCTCTCCTTTTCGGAGAAAACTGAGCACTGTTTCTTCACTTAGCTGAGGATAACGGATGTAGGAGGGGACTCAGAGATGTAGGGGGGGCAGGAGAATCTGGGTTCAAATCCCTGCTTAGCCAGGAAAACCTTGGGCCAGCCACTACGTCTTAAACCTACCTCATGGCAATTCCTAAGGCTGCCTCTCCTGTCCTGAGTGCCTTGGAGGGAGGGCTTGGCACAAAGTCATTACCTCGGATAAAATAACGGTTTCTGTGCCATCGTTTCGTCCACTATACTTTGCACAGAAATCGCTGCAAATTTGGACTGCGGCTCTCCAGCCGGTCGGATCTCACTCGGAACCAACCCTACAAAGGCCTTTTGGGAACAGGCGCACACCCTTGCAAAAAGCTCCCTTCCCCCTCTCCCGTTTTGCTTTCCCACCTGCCTTGCAGGCTCCTCCAGATGTTTCTCCCTTTCCTCCTCGGCAGCTGGATCTGCCTGCGCCCTGCTCGGACGGCTCCAGGCTCCTCGCCCCAGCCAGCGCTCTCGCGCAGCGCTTCTCCTCCGCCCAGCCCCACGGCACAAAGCCCCGCTGCGGAAGATCTGCAGCCCTGCAGAGGCAAATCCCCCCCTTATTAAAATTCAAATCCCAAGTTTTTGATCCTGGGAAGGGGAGGAGCAGGAAGGTGCCCTCGGCTAATGCATCCCCCCTCTACTCCGGCCGGGTTTCCTGAGCCTCTCTAGGGCGGAGAGCGCACGCTCGGCTTAACCCTTGGCGTTGCGCAGACCTCGGCTGGCTCCGCAGCAGGAGAGAGGAGACTAGAGGAGACTAATAATTTTTTAAAAACGGAAGTCGTTTCCTTGCCAGGCGCGAGAATAGCTCAGTTGGATAGAGCTTGGTGCTGATAGCGCCAAGGTTGCAGCTGCATATTCCTGCATTGCAGGGGGCTGGACTAGATGATCCTCGGGGCCAAACTCTTACACATCTAGGAAACAGCCTCCCGCGTCAAGACTCCGCAGGGACGCGAAATTTGTGCCAGAGGCTGTTCTCACGTGAGCGACAAGCCATCAAGTGATGTGAAGCGAAAGCGTGCAAAGGGGAGCAGGTTGTTAGATGGCAACTTCTATCATCGCTTACCGTTGGCCACGCTGGCTGGGAGCTGGGTGTCTCAACGGGACCTTGGAATAAGGTTCCCTGCCCTAAGGAAAAGATGCAAGATTGAAAAAAAGAATACCAGCCATTCAACAGGAGCAACCTTTGCCCAAAGGCTCAGTATTGGAAAAGTTGGCTGCCTACCCATCATGTAGCAGTAGACATAGCAGCAGAACATCAGTGGGGGGCGGTGTGTGTGTGTGCAAACTTTGCTTTCATATGACAGGCAACTTCAACGTGTGCAGCTGCACACTAGCTATGCTCAGGTTGCAATCCTAAACATATACATTAGACTGGAACATAAGTCGCATTGAACTTGGAGTTTACTTCTTGGGCTTCCAGTGCCAGACACAAAAGGAAAACACCAACATCCTTGCAAACCTCCCAAATGAATCTTAATGAAATACTGGTCTTGAAATAGAATATTTCTCTCCCCACACCCCACTCCCTTTGTTTCTTTCTAGGTCAGGTATTGGAGGGGAAATATTGAGTTGGGGGTGAAAGGGAAAGAGAGATCTTTGAAAATGACAGCAGGAGGAGGAACTAGTTTCCCTGTGGTTAATCATTATTTGTGACAGTTCACTCAATAAGATAAAATAAAAAGTTATTAAAACCAATAAACTGGCCTTTTAAAAAAGTCTGTTACTCCTAATATTTAACACTCTCATTTTTACCAAGTGGGATTCAAATTAAGTGAGTTGTACTTGATAACGTTTCACGTTGATTTCAGTAGGACCGAAGTGCAACTAACCTGAATTGGATCCAGACTGTTGAGTTGGTCTTGACAAGATAAGAGCGCTGGTGGATCACAGCTAAGGTTGCTCTAGTCCAGTGTTTCCCAACCGGTGTTCCGCGGCACACTAGTGTGCCGCGAGACGTTGCCTGGTGTGCCGCGGGAAAAATTAAAAAATTCGAATGATATCCGGAGAGGCGGCCTTCAGGCGAGTTTTAATTTTAATTTTCCTTCTCCCACTTAATGCCCCACGCTCGCCCGAGCAGCTTGCAGTCCTCGGTAACCACGGCGACCCGAGGGAGGGGAGGGAACAGGGAAGTCGAGGGCGGCGGCGAGCCGCGATGACGTCAGTGGGCCGCGCCGCCTCGCCCTGGCACGGTGTGAGAGCCCCGGCTAGTGGCGCGAGCTTCGGAATAAGTGGGATCCGCGTGCGCGAGACCGAGATCGTGGGTAAGGAGCTCAGCCCTGGGCAGGAGGAAGCGGGGCCGCGCGTGCGGGCCACATCCCCACAGAGAGCGAGCCTCCCCCGGCCCACCACTCCGGGCAGGTCCACTCGCATGAGGGGGCGGCGATGGCGACGGCCGGCAGCTTGCCTGCAATGCCATCCCTCGAGCAGGCGAGGAGCCCGGAGGCTACCAGATGCGAGTCCTCTTTCCCACCCTGCTCGGGAGTCCAGAGCACTTGGTCGCATTCAGGATCTAGAGTGGGGAAGCGGGGCTTGTGTCTGGGCTGGACACATTGGGCTGCCTGTGCCGCTCGACCTGCGGGGAGAAATCAGGGTGGGAGTCACGACCGTGAGGCAGGGCTGCCAAGTGTGGCAGAAGAGGACACGGCCGTCGCACCTGTCCTTAGGTAGGAGCTTCTTCCGTGTCGACCTGCTGCCCTAAAGTCTTGGCTTTTTTCTTGGCTTTTTGGCGGTTGGCACAGAAGGAAGGCAAGGGGGAGGGGAAAAATTGAAACTTACACTTTCGTGCGTCCCTCCCGGCGTGACGCTGCGCGCTGACGTCACGGGGCTGTAATGGTGGTGTGCCTCGAGATTTTTTTCATGAAACAAGTGTGCCTTTGCCCAAAAAAGGTTGGGAAACACTGCTCTAGTCTAGCATCCTGTCTCCCAAATGGTCCAGCCAGATGCATTTAGAAATATCCAGTGCCCTGTTCCCCCCCCCAGCAGTTGACCGTTGAGAGACCAACTGCCTATGAGAGAGTCCACTCAACTATCATGCCTAACAGTCACTAACTGGCAAATCCTCTGTAGATTTGTGCAAACCTTTTATAAATGTGTCTATACTTGTGGCTACATTTTGTGTAATAGTGAGGAAGTACTTTTGCGTGAACCCCATGTTCTGATATTATCAGAGGGGGAGAAAACAGTCTTTCAATCCATTTTCTTATTTCACCATGTAGAATTTCAGAAACCTCTATTATGCCTCCGCATCACCCCTTTTATTTTTATTTTTATTTTAAAAATGAATTTTCATTGGTTTCCAGCTAAAGGAGAAAAAAACCCTTCAAGCTTTAACCTCCTCTTCTTGGGAGGATATTCCCACCCTGCAATCATTTAAGTTGCCCTTTACTACATTATTCCCCCCCCTCCCTTTTGCCAGCTCTACAATATCCTGTTTTTAGGTTGGATGACTAGAACCGTATGTAGTATTCCAAACATGACCACATCCTGCAAGGTAGCTCACTATTTAGCACAACCTTGTAAGGTAGGCAGCCTGTTATTTGATTCCATTTTACAGATCGAAGATAGAATCTGAGAGTGGACTTGCACAGAGGCCAGGCAGGGGTTTATTCGCGTAGTCAAAGCCATTAAGGCAATGGGGGGAAAGCCTGTGCAATTTTACTTAGGAGTAAGCCCCACTGAAGTCAGGGTGAATATATACTTGTAGGATTGCATTCTAAGCGTCCCTGATGGTATTCTCGAGGTCGGTTTATGGAGCCTGCATCATCAATTAGACACTGTTTTGAGTACTAAGAGAAAAGAGACAATGTTGACAAAAGGGATTGCGATCTGGTCTAAAAAATGGGCACATCCACTGCCTTCTTAACTTGGTGTCTCTGAGCCTGCAGCAAGGCGTTTCTCCTAGACCAGATTATGAAGGGTTAAATAGGTTGATCTTTCTGGGTCCTAGAGCCCCTCCATATCTTTAGAGACAGGGGGAAGGAATAAGGTACGGAGCTTCCTCTCTCTCACAGTCAGCTCTTGGGGTTTTTTCCCCCTCTTCTTCCCAGCAGCAGCAAAAGCAGCAGATCGAGACAGTAGAAGCCCCCAAGCTGGGCAAAGCAGCAGAGGTGAGTCGATGGGAATTCTGCTCGCGGAGAATTGCAGTTTGCGAGATGCCTGGAAGTTGCGGGCGTCTGCTTTATTTGACTGACAGGGAAGATGTGGCTTCAGCTATAAGGCAGGGTCATTCTTTCAGTGGAGCGATGATCATCAGCTCAAAACATGGGATGCAAATCCACATGAGGGACTAGCTGGTACTGATAATCCTTCAACAAACCTTGCTGGAGCTATTTTATGAAGTGCTTTGCAGTCTTTAGCTTGTTCTCTGTCACAACAGCCTTGTGAGATAGAGTAAACTTGTTCCCATTTTGCAGATGAGGATAACCAAGGATGTGTTTAGTCCCTGCAATGCCCAACAGTACTCTCTAATGCATAAAACAGCCTTCCCTAATCAGAATACAGTGCAAACAGAGATTTTGTATCAAGTACTGTAGAAGATGTTCACCTGTGGGTTGTAAGTCATTAAATAATAATAAAAATTATTATTTATTAATTTATTCCCCAGCCACTCTGGGAGGCTCCCAACAGATTAAAAACAGAATAAAACATCATATGCATGACTACTGCGAAGCAAGCCTCATTGAGTTCAGTGAGACTTATCCCAGGTTAGTGTTTATAGGATTGCACCTAAGAGATGCTCATGCATGTGTGTTAGCCCACCTTGAGACTGAGAGATGGTTTGTACTTTATTGTCTGCACAAACAATTGCATGTGTGAATGGTCCACTTGCAATGAGTAGTGGAAGAACAGAACACTTTGCTGAGTTACAAGCAGGTTGTCACTGGTTGTCTTTGTAGCTGTGTGTTCTGCTGCCCCATTGCTCAAGTGAAGATTAGGGTACCAGATGCAGATCCAGCATCCTGAAGATCAGCTGTGAAGATAGATCTGAAAGTATGTGAACAACGGCAGAAGATGCACAGAAGTCAGAATGAAAGGTGAGCAAGATTAAGGCCTGAGTGCCTTAAATAGCTCTTTGCCCATCTGCTCACACCAGAATAGCACAAGCAAAAATAAATAACCAAAAATAAAATAAAATTGCACCAGTTTCAGAAACTGGTTCCAGAAACCTGCATTTCTTTATGAATCCTGCTTATTTCAAATCACTGTTTGAAATGTAGGCTCTCTCAGTAATCTATGTCTTCTCTCTAAGATTATACCGACCATTCTGATTTCTCCCTCGACCATCTCCCCAGGTTCTTGCAGTGTTTAATCCCTCCTATTTCTAGTCCCTGTGTGATATTTTTGCCCCTTCCAGACACAACTGCCTTCCATTTATCTCAGAGCAAGGGCACTGATTTTTCAACATTCCATTCCTAGCCCTTATTCTGTGACATCACAGCAGCTCAGCCAATGGCTAGGAGCGAGGCATGAAGTCAATGGATAGCTGTGAGCTCACTATGTGTATAAAAGTATGGGTTCTCTCTCCCTCTTTTCACAGGTTCTTAGTGCCTTAGATGGGAATTTTGCTGTGCTCTTGATGGTAGTAGCACTGTTGATGACAAGCCCTGTTCTGTTCAGCACAGTCCTGCCA